TTTTTTTTTTAAACTTTTGATGAAAACCTGAATCAACATTTAATATGGTTTATTAATTCAACTGCTTGCTCTCGACGTGTCTTCATTTTCGTTTGAACACTTCCAAAACATGTACTAGTATAAACAATGTTTTCTTCCTAATTAACTGGTCTAAGGCCATAAATGCATAGCCATGAATCTACTGTATTATTATGTTGCATGCTAAAATGCTAGCTGCTAAGTGAAATTGCACAAAGGCTGTCAATGCCTTTTTTTATGCTTTATGTCTTTGGTACAAGAAATGTGAAGTTTAAATCATATTCATTTGAAATTGCACAGCTGAAAATGTTTGGAGACAATTGGTTACAGTTTGCTGCTATGCACAATGCGATTTCAGAAATATCATGTTGATCATTTAACAAAGGAAACCAATTGGTTGGTCATTATGAAGTGAAATGTATTCAGTAAAAATATAGTTTATCTAAATATACAATTATTCTATACAATTTTCAGTACGATACGCCATTACTGAAATTTTCGATAGCTGCAACCCGACATTCAACGTGCCTGCTATATTGCCGTATTTTTATTGTTTCATAAAATTCTTGTCCCTGGGATTAACCTGCAATAAAATTGAAAGCAAAACTGCAAGCAAGCACAACATGCTGACGTTACATAAGCACAGGAAGTGGCAGGCGGAAGCAAAGCCATTCATTTGACTTAGCGGGAATATGGCAACAGTGTGGTAGCATTTGACTGAAACGCAAGGCGAGCATTGTGGCGTGCCATCGTAAAACGGAGCTTGCTCTCCACCGAAGACGCCCAGTGTGAAGGCATGCCAGACACAAAACAAAGGTAAAATCAAGATTTCACAAATCAGTTTATGTACATGAATGTGTGTGTGTGTGTGTGTGTGCGCGCGCGCGTGCATGTGTGTGTGTATAAAAATAGTGCTGTGGCGCAATGTACAGACAGATAATGGTACTTGTTATTTTGGGGTTGTGTGTTATACAGTCGACTAGAGCAGGCTCACTAACATGCCTACTTGGCTGCCAGGTTTGGCAGCGCCGATTTTCCCCATCAAAGGCAATGCATGTACAGTCATACCTGGTTTTCGACCATAATCCGTTCCAGAAGGCTGTTCGAAAACCGATTTGTTCGAAAACCGAAACCACGCTCTTTTTTAAAAAAATAATCTTTATTGAACACATCTGCTCACAATGGAACGCTACACGAGGAAGCGTCACTTCCTCGACTAACCGAGGAAGCGTCACTTCCTCGTGAAAGGAAGGCGAGAGGAGTCGAGTGGCGCATTCAAGTGCCTCAGTTTGGTTGAACCTATTTTCGGTCGTAATCCGAGGCATAAAAAACTTTTTGGTCGAAAACCGATTTGGTCGAGAACAGAGACGTTCGAAAACCGAGGTTTGACTGTACATACCTAGCGGACATGTTAGCAGGGGCCCCTGTCCCATCAGATGTAATGGAAAGCATAGACATTAGCTTAGCAGTGCCGTAGGCAACTAAAAAGGAGCATGTTTTATATATACCTATTCAACCCTTATCTATGGAATCCAATCGTAACGGTGATGGGGAAAAAAAGGAAGCACACCAACATCTTGGCTCAAGCCACTAGCTGCACGCAATTATCTCTACCGCAAGCACTAGCGAAGTAAGTTTGGATGAACTTGAAAACTTTTCAAAAAAGTTCCAGATTTTTTATTTACAATAATTTTGTACCGTACTAGGCAATTTTAGGCTGCGAAGAAAGCACAAAATAATACATTTGTACTGTTAGGTATTTTGGGGCGTAGAAAAATAATATTTCAATTTAACAGACAAGTAGTATTGATTCCGCAGAGAACAATTCTGATTCTGCGGAGGGAAAATCTTGATTCCACAGCTTGAAAGTTGATTTCCCGCAGGTATTAAGTGACCTAAAATGACCACTTAGAAAGCAAATTAGTGTATTAATGAAAGTAAGAATTATTTTCGGAAATAATCTGCAAAACCAAAACACTGTGGGTATAAAATAATCAACATCAGTATTCTATTTGGACCTCTCAGGCAGATTTATTGAATAATAATAATAAATTTTATTTGCATTTCACCAAACTATGGGTTTGAGGCAGAACAAGTGATATTAAAGCAAAGATTTAGAGTGTAACCTCGCCACTTGACCTGGATATTGTAATATCTGCATACAATAAGATAATCAATGCAATTCAACCACACAGACAGTTCATTTATTACGTGCGGCAATGGCGTGACGTAATTTTTACTGGACGTCTACATAAAATGAAGAGAAAAAAAAGCGTCACCTCATTTGCCCAAAATAATTCTACCACCTTCCGCATCCCATTGCTCCTGTCAGTATAAAATGATAAAAAAAAATGAGCTCGTACACAATCTTGATATTTGAGCATGTCATCTATTATCTCTTGGGATTTGATATTTTTAAGGGTTCGTTTTTTTTTTTTTTTCCATAAGAGCAAAATTGTTCCACCTTCTAGCCAAATCCTGTTTATTTGTTGTGGCTTCCTATGACAATAAAGTAGCCAGCATAACGGACAAAAATAAGTTGTGTAAAATAGGCTGATACTAAACCCAACAATGAAATACAGTTCTTATTGGCAGAAAGGTGACCTTACGTTTCTCAAGTACTTCCTGATCAGACCATTCAAAGCGTACAAGTTAATCCTTGGAACACAAATGTTATCGATGTTCAAGTTTTTCACACCAAGTTCTCCCAGATTTGTCAGCATCCTTGAGAAAGTTACTGAACCCACATGCTGCGTATGCCGAGTCATAAGCGTGAATTTGCCGGCTAAGCAATCATAAGGGACTCAAGCACACTTCCATAATTCGAGGCTTTCCCCTGCCTTGATATGGGAGTGTCTGAGAACCATCAAAGAGTGCATTGAACTCTTGGATCCACACGACACGACAAAATAGTTGGACATCGAACGTAAGTTGTAAGTAAATGTACTTATGACAGAGCAAAGTGTTTAATGTTTATTAGTTCCCATGTAGAACAAATCATTAAAAATCTACCTATACTGTACTGTTCATTTGAAAGAATGCATGACATTACATAAACTGACATCATGAGCAAGAATTGGAAATGCCGTTGCTCAATTGGTACCGTTTAACAGTTTGTATTAACAGCGAGAGCACAAATTAACATACAGGTACTGTATTTGAACACAGTGTGTATGTAACACACCTCAACGCTGTGTATTCTGAAGAACAGACTGTAACATAACCCCGTGGGCATTTGTGTCTGCATGCGTGCACACAGTGGGTTTGGCTAGAGCAACAGCAAGCTTGGCTTTCCTCGAATGCCTGCTTCTGCAGTGACTACATACAGCCATCTAGCTGCAGCTCTGCTCTTCAGAGCAATGAAATTGAAAAAAAAGGATAGCACACACTTCTCTCGTTTCCCTTCGGTTCACGTCTTGGCGCTCCGAAGCACAGTGCGGTTGTTGAATACAGTGTTTGCATTTGAAGTGTCACCGTTGGTGACAGAGAAGCTCCTCCATCCTCCGAGCTTTTTTTATCCAGCCATCAAACAGACAATTCAGTTAACTGTCCACAAGAGCTAGTGGGAGATCTTGCATTGCAAGTACTATGGTCGATGGTTCTAGCTAGGCTCCTCTTCAACAACTAGCTCGGACATTAAAGACGCTCTTATTTTACATCTCAAAAGGAGAGGACCTGGGCTCATTGCATGAACAAAAGGAAAGACACTGTTGACATTCCAGACATGAGTCCTTTGGTCTTTTCTCAGGAAACCTGAGCCTGCCCACAGGAGATACAGTGCAAACAGGGATTTTACACAGTTTGTCTGTGTGTATTTTCTATTGCTCTCAATGGCCATGCAATCACATGCTTTAGTGGGGATTTTTTTTATAGTCAAATCTACAGTGAGAATCACAGAGGACCACAGGGCACTACTCTAATAGTAACAAAACGCATCCGCTGCACCCAATCAGAAATCAGCCGAACCATTCTGTCAGCTCCCACAAGATTCATTTGCGCTTGCGAGTAATCATTTTGTTCTGTCAAAGGATGTGTGCCTTAACACATGAAAATATTGTCAGTATTCTGGCAACAATCTGACACCTGCTAGTTCGCTCCCTTTAATGTACAGGTGCCTGTGCATTGCATCACTGACTGTTTACGGTGACATCAAACCATGAAGCTAATTTTTAATTTCACTGTAGTTCAATACAGTGCTGTGTTTACAGGAAACAATATGCATTCAGGAACCTGTTTGTAATTGGGCATCGAATCACACCCAGAACTTCCTCTCTCTCGAGATGGACCTTTTATCTCAAAGCCAGAAGTGTGTGTTTGAGCGAGTGCGTGTGTGGGTGTGTGTGTGGGTGTGTGTGGGTGTCGTCATTGATCCTCTAATGTATCTGTATTATTAATTGTTTTTCTAACCACCATTCAAATAGTACTTGATTGAATCACAAAGTGCCCTTTAAGGACTCGATCATAGCAATATAATATTGTAGTCCATGTAAACATACACTGGCACCAGGGGACGGGCTGTTGATTTAGAAAGCATGTCACAAATCTGGAGCCTAAACTGTCATTGATGAGAGCAGGGAAGCATTTGTTACAACACTAATGCCTACTTACAGAGTATCGCACACTTAACCCAAGAAAGGAGAAGTAGTTTGGCCGTGAAAAAAAGTTACTTGAGAGCTCACAGTGAATAAACACGTTTAAAACGGGCTGAAGAGGACAAAGAATCAGATGTTAAGTATCGAGCATTCTGTTTCTTTCCCAAACAAACGCACTTAGTCGGCGTTGTTGTGAAAGTGAGGCGAGCAATTACCGCCGAGTGACCGTGTTGTCAGCTCTTGCAACTGTGAGTGAACAAGTTAGTCCCGCGGTAGTCATGCAGCTACTGCGAGTGCTTGTTTGTGGTCCATGGATGTTGAGTGAACTGTCTGCGGAAGTGTGTGAGTGAGAGGGCTGTCTCTGGCTGTCATTTGGGAGCGCGTCCTTACCGCTATCAGCGTGTTATTCCTCTGTTCCGTGGAGGAGGCCGAGTCCGGGTCGGGCTGTTTGATCTGCGGCTGCTTACTGCCTCCGCTCCCGCTGGCCGACTTCTTGGCCCGCTGCTCCAGACTCCGCTGGTACAGGCTGACAGTCTCCCTGCGCTCGATCTCCAGCTGCTCGGCGTGGGCTTGCTGGTACCTGTTCTCGCAGTTGACGTGGTGTCTCCTGCAGCCCTCTATCCGCTGCCTCAGCCTCTCCACGACGGTGCTGTGCTTAGGTATGCCCGCGGCCCCGGCAGGCACCACGTTCCCGGCAGCCGGGTTCAGGCTGTTGTTGATGCAGATACTGCCGTTGGGTCCGGCAGCGGGGGAGGCGAAGTCCCCCATCAGTGGGCCGAGTGGCTGCTATTTTGAAGGAACTTTTCTCCAACGTCCAGCTTGTCTTCACCGCCGCCCCCTCCTCCACCTAGCGTCACCCCCCTCTCTGTCCTCCGCAGCGAAGGGTCCCAAGGAGCCTGCCAGCGGAGGTCGGACCGGCAACAGCCCCCGAAGTGAGCGACAACCAGGGGCTTTAAAGGGCAGCGAGCCTCGCGCCTGTACGGCCGGGAGCTGGCGAGTGACCTCGTCTTCTTCCCTGCTTAACACAGTTCCAAAACAAACAGCTCCCGAGAACACAAATAAGAGCCAGCATGAGAGGCTTTGACAATGAAGCGTCTCTGCGCCACTCGCTCGAAACAACTCCACCGGAAAGCCAAACAATTTACGACGGCGGCGGTGTGAAGGCGGGCAGCCGGCGGTCAAAGCCACACCAACAGCCGCGCCGAGCAGCAACAGTATACTCGCCGCTTTACGGTGTTGTACTTATCCGTAGAGAAAAAGTTTTGCTGCTTGGACCTAACGGGCTCCGGAGTTCCCAAGTCAACGTGCATGTCATATGGTTACTGGTTTGAAAGCAATCCCGGTAAGGATGTCGCTTGGTTCTGTTGTGAGGCATCAAGAGTCCAGACGGCGCAAAACGTGAATATGGGAAGCAGTGGCGGAAGTGTGTAGTCACTGGCTGACGCCTGCCACCATCACACAAGAATCAAGTCAGCTTCTCCACCATGCCAGCGGAGTGATATCAGGACAGCAGTTGAGTAAAACCAGCTCGAGGCTGTGAGAAGCCCGCCGAAGGAAATCCGGAAAACCCGGCGCGGCATTTGCTGCGGATGCCCAAGAGAAGTTGCGCTATAGTCCCGCCTCGGCGACTTGAATAAAATGTGCACAATTGGGGTAAATGTTCAATAAAATAACAATAAAAGTTTTTTTAAGTTTATTTGCATGCATTAATATGTTACATAATACATTCTACATTCACGGAGAATTGTACTCCATTTAAGTAACAAAGTCACACTTGGAGCCTATTAATTGTAGATGTATTTTCAGTGCTACAGAGGTTTGACACATGTCTTTTTCATGCGGATAAATCAGATTTAATGATGGAAAGTATTAGACCACCTTATTTTCCTCACTTCATTTTAATGTCGGGTACTACTAAGCGCGTATCAAGTGACTAACACACGCACACACACACACACACACGCACACACACACACACACACACACACACACACACACACACACACACACACACACACACACATACTCCTTTCCAGAAAACATGGAATGCCTAAAAGCAATGTTTTGCCAGGAAAATAGCTATTAAAGATTGGAGTGATTTTGATTGTTATTGAGAAAACCATGGAAAATGTTTCAATATCAACTCTTGAGTTCAACTTTTATCAAACATCTTTGTTGTCATTATTATTATGTTTGTACAACTAATTTGTATCAGGCATTTAAAATGAAAAAAGATGGTCCAATATGTTTGTCAAAGACCGTGTGTATATGGGTAATACCAGAAAAGGAGGACAATTTAGGCACCATCATTTTAGCTAAACAGACGATCCTTCATAATTTTGATAACAGGTAATAAACCATATAATTTATCCAGTCCAACCGTCAACCCTTTCAATGAGATAGTTTGGTTAGCTCGTCCACCTCAAAGTTCTGAGGTTCTGGGTTCAAAGCGGGGCTCTGGCCTTCTTGTGTGGAGTTTGCATGTTCTTCCCGTGCTTGCATGGGTTTTCTCCGGTTACTCTGGTTTCCTCCCATGTTCAAAAACCATGCATGGGAGGTTAGTTGAACATTCTCAATTGTCAATAGGTGTGAATGGTTGTTTGTCTATTTGTGCCCTGCGATTGCCTGGTGACGAATTCAGGGTATACCCCACCACTCATCCAAAGTCAGCATGGATAGACTCCAACACATCTGTGACCCTGGTGAGGATGGGCGGTACAGCGCATGGATGGATTTTACCTGTTGTATCATATAGTTGCTGTGTATGGTGCAACCCTCGCTCGGATTTTTGGACAGCTGAAAAACACGTTTCAAAACTACAGCTGAATTAATCATTCACAATAAACAACATGGAAAAATATTATTTTAATACTTTAAAATTTTTCTGACTGTATTATTTTAATTACAATAATAGCATTACTGACAATATGGTTACATAACCAAGCTAATGTGGGAGTATTTGCCCAAGAGTACATGGATGTTGTATTAACCTGATATGCTAATCGGTCAAGAACAAACTTGGCCACATAATAAAAAAGAATAACTTTGATATTATCATGTTTATTTCAAATACTATGACTAACAATGTTGTGTTGGTTTGAGTGACACATGCCATTAAGTCTGAAAACATTTACAAAATATGAGAAATAGAAGACAAGACTTACCTTACGCTTATGAAAAAGTTGTATATATGAAGTATACTTTATATAGTTGTATATATGAAGTATTTAGAGTGTACATTTTCATTCTAAATTAGAACAAATTAAATTTTAAAAGTATACTTACTATAAGTATCTGTTTGCATGTTTTTACAAGCCAAGTGTACTTAAGCATACTTTGGCAAAGTTTATAAAATATAGGATTTTAAAACTACCGTTAAAATATTGTGCCTCCAATTTAGAAAAAAACGTTTACTCATAGTATACTTGAATAAACTACTTTTTGCTAACGGTAGGTCTACCCATGATCAGAGCCATTGACTATATGAGGTGTCTCAGAAAAGTTCAAAGACTTGTGTCACAAAAGATATATTTCAAACCCAAATGACAATCATCAAGTTTTCCCCTTCCCTGTGGCGCAGAAGGTCAACCAGCACATTTACAAAGAGATCCTGGAGCGTTTGCTTCGTTCAATGCACTAGAAGAGACGAAAGCTGTGGCAGGACAAATCGTTGCTGCTTCACCATGACAACGCAGCTGCTCAGAAAAAGCAGTTTTAAAGTAATATTAGATCAGGGCTGCAGTTAACAATTACTTTAATCATCGATGAATCTGTCGATTTTCTTGAACAATTAATCAACGAATCAGATGTTTTGAAAAATTCAATTTCCATCTCTTTAATCCAAAACATGACATAATTTCAAATTGACAGTGCAAAAACAAATTATGATTCAGTTCCTGGTTGAAAAATGAAAAAAAAAAAGTAAATGGTTTGGTGATTATCAAAAATAGTTATAGAATAATTTGATCATCGATTAGATGTTGGTAAATTGATTAATAGTGCCACCTCTAAATTGGATGTCCTTCATGACTTGGTGGTTGGGTTAATGTACATTTACTTTTTTTGCAGATATTCATTTGTGACCATAACTTCATCTACTGCAGTTTTATTTCACTATTTTTCCTGTTTTCTTGCTATTTTCTTCCTTCTAAATTGGACAAGTCAAAAACTTTAGATTTTTTTATTTTTTTGGAGGGGAGAGGGGAGATGAAATTTGTTTTATAAAAACCGAGGCAATGAAAATTAGACTATTCATTGCCTATAATCAGTGAGTCGCTCTTTATTCTCCACTTATCATTTTTAAATTTACATTTATTAAGTGTAAAAAGTGGTTGGAATGTTGGGAACCCTGGGGGGGGGGGTCGTAATGGCTTAATAGAGGTATAACCCCCCCAAATGAAATAAGACAATTAAAAAAAAAAGAAAAACAAGGTTACGTAGTGGAAATTCACTTATTGCAGGGGAGCTTGGAAAGTGAGGGAGCACAGTATTTATTTTATACATGCGTACCATGATGGTACGCATGTTACTTTATTTAAACTTGTCTTACCTGGTGAACAACAGTATGTCTTGCTTCAATGCCAGGCTCTCACCTTGCTGTCTCAGCTGGCAAATTTCCTCTCGGAAAGATGCCTTTTCATCCAGCGCCAGCTTGACAACAGCTGGATCATGATCCACAGTGTCGTCGTGGTCCATGAAGACATTGTTTTGGCAAGACACATCTGTGTTGCTTTTTTTCTCTCTTCCTTAGGAGGCCGTCCTGTCACCCAAACACTCAAATCAGCCTGCCATGCAACATACATGGCAGGCCGATTTGAACATTGGAATGTGGGAGGAAACCGGAGTACCCAGAGAAAACCCACGCAGGCCCACGGAGAAAATACAAGCTCCACACAGGGAGGCCGGAGTCGGGATCAAACCCATGACCTCTGCACTGTGAGGTCAACGCGCTAACCACTGGACTACCGGGCCACCCTAAACCCTGTCTGAAACCTCCTAATTTGGTAAAGTTCATATTGTTTCACCAATCGCTACTGGTCAGTCTGCACGAGTGTGTTATTTTTCCAATTTACTAATCAGAAGTGTTGAATATGGGTTGCTCCCTTGATGATGTCAGGTTAATGGTTGAACAAACATGACATTTTCTTGGTCCTCTGAAAAGTGATGATGCAACACAAGGAGTCCACCTGACGCCAGAGTTGGGCTCCCACCTGAATTTATTTGGGCTTAGTCAGAGGCCCTTTAAATGGTGGCAGGTGTTTTCTGACCCTCATTTAACATGAGTTTGAATGTGATTGCTTAATTCTGAACAGTCACATCCCCGTTTATCAGAGGGTGTGTGCACTTCTGCATCCATATTATTTCAGTTTATTTGGCCTCTGATTTTTTGTTCAATTAATTGCCTACTTGAAATTGTCCAAAGCCGTGAATGTAAGTGTAATTGGTTGTCTACATGTGCCCAGCGATTTGTTGGCGACCAGTTCAGGGTGTACTCCGCCTCTTGCCCAAAGTCACCTGGAATAGGCTCTATTACACATGTGGCCCTTGTGAGGATAAGAGGATCAGACAATGGATAGATGGATGAGGTAGATGGCTTGAATACTTTAATTATATACACAACTACAAAGGTTTTATTGATGTCCTGTAAATTAATTCTTTAGGCTGCAATGATGGTGAAAGTCAGAACAAATTATTATTCACATCCTCATGAAACATTAAAAAAAAAGAAAAAGCTCTTCAATACAGACACACATGCATCATTTGTTTTATTTGTTTAATTTTTGTATTTTGTTAAATTAAAACAATACTGTACTATCAAAACAAGCTGCAATTTGCAGCATCAACAGTAAAGCTTGGGATGAGTACAGAATGTAAACCCGAAATGTAAGGTACAACGTGAGAGTGACTGACTGTAAGGATAGGGGCTCTGCCAGGGATTTGGGGACCAGGGATTTCATTTTGAGCTTCTCCTTGAGTTTGTCATGAATAAAAAAAATATAGGTTTTGTTGCCCCGTTGGTCGACTGGTTAGTGTGTTGGCCTCGCTGCGCAGAGGTGCAGGGTTTGATTCCGGCTCCAGCATTCCTGTGTGGGGTTTGCATGTTCTCCCGGTCCCTGCGTGGGTTTTCTCCGGGTACTCCGGTTTCCTCCCACATTCCAAAAACATGCATGGCAGGTTATTGGAACACTACATTGTCCCTCGGTGTGAGTGTGAACCCTGCGATCGGCTGGCAACCAGTTGAGTGAATGCCATATAAACATATTAACCATATTAACCTATGGGCTAATCTCATTTTATATAACTGGCAACGAGTTTTTCCACATATCTGTGGAGTTATTTTTCAAGTATAAACAGCCTTTTAAAGGTTATGCTACAGCATTTTAATTGGATTCAAGTTTGGACTTCGACTATGCCACGACAGAACCTTCATTTCTTTTTGTTTTTTTTAAGCCGTTTGGAAGTTAATTTGCTGAAATGTCTGATTGTTGTTACTATGCAAAACCCAGATCAGAAGCATTCTTCATCAGGATTTTTTGGTAAAGAAAAGAATTCCATCAGTCACAGTAAGTCATCCAGGTCCTGAAGTAGAAAAGCAGCCCCAGACTATCGCATACTACCACCGTGTATGCCTATTGGTATGATGTTCTTTTTCTGAAATGCAGTGTTACATTTGCTCATGATTTTACAATTGCACAGGTATTTTTGGGCAGTAAATAGGCTTCAAAATCAAAACAAAAGACATTATAATATCATTTCCCCATACTTTCTGACAAAAAGGAGGCTCAGATAGTCTTAAAAATTATCCTTACGTGACCTCCAAGTTGGACTCATCCACCCAATTTGTGTCCCTCTTATCCTCACAAAGGTTGTGGATGAGCTGGATCTTATCCCAGCTGACTTTTGGTGGAAGGCGGGGTACAGCCTGGTTACTGTCCAATAATCTGGTCCGCTTATCCTCACGAGGGTCGCAGGCATGCTCAAGCCTATCCCAGCCCTCTTTGGGAAGTAGACGGGATATACCCTGAACTGGTTGCCAGCCAATCTCAGAGAACAACAAAAAAACAACCACTCACAATCATACCAAGGAACCGTATAGAGCGTTCAGTCACCCTACCCTCCATGTTTTTG